GATTTTGATGGTGATGGTGTATGGGTTTTCTTATACCTTTGCTAATGTAACGTGCTATACTTTTTTGCTATTTTCTGTATCCCTTATCTATTATTTTTTTCTGACTTAATACAAACATGAAAACTTTTTTATCGATTTTAGAATGTGCTGATATGTCTTTCTGTTGAATGTACGTGTAGAAAAGAGTGACAGAAAATTATAAATAATTCATAATCACATTCATTGACATGCAAGAAAATATAAATATAATTAATACAGAAACTTATGTCAGCATAATTAGAGAAAGACTGTCGTAAGGGAAAAGAGCTCATAAAAAGTGCATCTGCTATTTGTTGATCCGGTGACGATTATTTTGTTTGATCTGTAGACATTTAATCACGTTGCGCTATGCCTTAAACACTTGGAAAGTAAATTGATTTTTATCTGTCGTTGAATCGCAGATTTTATATTAATTTCTCGATTAAAGATACATTAACTGTTTTGGTACAAATACGTTGACACCGCAAAACGTAGTTTCTTTCTGCTTCTTACAGTTAGTATTAGTTTATAATTACTTTCTTTTACTCTATGTTAAGAAGAGTAATGCCACATTAATTATTAAGTTATAATCAAGTTAATCAGCAGAACAATTACTTGATAAAAATTGTTTCTCTCGTACGTAATATAATTAAATTCAGCTTAATGTAAATGTAGCATTTCGGTGTAACTAAAAAAAAAAAAAGATTATTTATTTTTTCTAATAATAAACAAGTTTCTTTAATTTTTATACGCAATGGAGAAGAGAATAATTTTTATCGATAATATTAGTATAATGACTAGAAATTAGAGATAATATACATGTATGTTATTGTACAAGAATTTTTGATATCGAGTATATTCAGATTTACTACGAAAATTTACGTGCTGCTTTGTTTTCTACATACCGTGTGTCCACAACCAACAGGGTTTCTTCGCAGCAGAAGAGAAAAAAGAAAGGAAAAAAAGGCAAAAAAGAAGAAGGATATTGTGGAAACGAGCAGCAACAAAGAAGAAAAGTCTGACCTGTCAGTATATGCACATTCAGCAGATCTAGTGCACCAAAGGGTCGATCCCATGATCGAGCATTTATCATTGAAATTAACATCTATTATTGAAATGAATTAAAAAATAATCAGCAAGTAAAGTCTTCTGTACAAAAAGCTTGATCACGGAATTAGATCTTAGAAATCTTCATTTTTTTTTTATTCTTTTTTTGCAATTTTCATTATTGGCACTATCATTAGTACCGCTAAAGCACAATGACATCGTAAAGTAAATTAATGTATTCTTAATAATTGACCTTTTGATACATAAAATGAAAGAGATTTTATCATGTGTACATGATGCACTGGGCCTGCTGGAAGTCTTGAGGGTATATTCTACTGAACCACGCTAATTCTATATAATAGGGAGGATAAGGATGACAGTAGAAAGTCTGAAACACCGACACCGGAAGTAGATGAGGATGGTTTCTGCATTAGACCGAAGGCAGAGCCATGGGAAAATGAGAAGGGATTTTATTCTAGCTCAGATACCGATTCGGAGGACGAGAGGGAACGAAAGATTCGAGTGGAAATAAAACCACTTAGCAATGGCGGGGCACCGATGAGCGCCAGCGTGGACGAGCTCAGGGCGACTGTGGAGAATCTATCGTTATCGCCTGCACCGACGGTACGCTCTTCATTTTCCTTCAATTATTTTTTTTTTTTTTTTTTTTTTTTCTCCCTTAGAGGCTAATTCTTTCTTCGGAGATTTATTTTCTTGAACGATATCGTTCCAATTCCTGCAACAGGGACGCAGAGGATCGAATAACGACTCAGATCATCATATGAAAAGGTCTCAGTCAGTGTCACAGCAATTAGGAGGTAAGCCAAGCTCGGATTTACTTGGCCTAAACTTGTTCAATCCTAGCAGTACACCATCGAGCGCCTCAACGCCGACTGGTAGTCATCCGTACGCGCCATTGCAAAGTCCTCCGCCGTTGTCTTTGTCACCGACGCCTCAACTACAGCCGCCACAATCCGCACCACCTACACATCCTCACCCACGATTCCCTGGTGAGTTTACGGAGTCACGTTGTTGCACTCTTAGCTTGTCACGGGGCGCTTTCTGTGTCTTGTTAAACGTACCGTGTGTCATTATGTGTATATTGTCCTAAACTTACATTTAGACCATATGTTAGAGACGAAGAAATGTAGAAGATTTCATCGTTTACATACACAGATGGAGACTTGTTCTCGGAAGTAGGAGATATCACTCCGGCCTTACCTCCCAAGCAATCCGCATCTTCCACTCCGACAGGATCTATTATCATTCCTAGACCACCGTCCCGAAGAGGAGAAGGCCCTTCACCAAGGGGTAGAATGTCACCGGCAACTATATCCAGAGCCGATAGCGTGGCTAGCTTGGAGTTTCGTACAGCTGGCGTTGGAGTTGGGTCTTCCAGAGGCCCGTCTCCGCTCACGATAGGACTCGCAGACACTATTCCATTAGCAGTTGCTTTCCATGAAATAGTACACTCTTATTTCAGAGGTACTGATGAAACGCGGTGTCAAGTGAAACTCAGCGGGGATATGATGCTGTCATTCCCCGCCGGTATCGTCGCCGTGTTAGCTAATAATCCAAGCCCCGCGAAGCTTACGTTTCGCGTGCGAAACAGTAACAGATTGGAAAAATTGTTCCCTAATAATCAGCTCGTCAGCATGTAAGTTACGATGGGATGGCGATTTAGAATGTTCGTTTAAGAATGACATTAACATCGATATTTCTTACAGGGATGCAACGCAGACAACTGTTGACTGTACAATTTTTGAATTCAACATGAGTGCCTTAACTACGTTGTTACGCAAACAGGCTGAACAAAATCCCTCAGCTTCGTATTTTAATGTCGATATACTCAAGTATCAAATCAAATGCAAAGAGGGCGCGGGTTCGTGTCCTTTCCAGCTGGTTGCCTATTGGAAATGCGAAACGGCTCATACCGACCTTAAGGTATTTACTGTTGATACATTGATGATGTGACAATCTCTTATTTATCCGTGTTCCAGATTGATTATAAATATAATAGTCGTGCTATGGCTTCGCCGAGTCCACTGTTGAATCTCCATGTGGCCGCGCCCATAGACGGAGGATTCAAGTCATTCAATAGTAAACCTCAGGCACAATGGTTACCAGAGACGAATCGGATACTGTGGAAGTTTACGGAACTGTCACAGCACAGCGAAGGTAACGGCGTAGGTTCACTGAAAGCCCGAGTGGAACTCGCGCATGGGCCAGGGAATCAAGGAACCATATTCACACAGTTTAATTGCGAAGGGACCACATTATCTGGAGTTGAGTTCGAGCTTTTAGGCCCGGGATATAGATTAAGTTTAGTAAAGCGTAGATTCGTATCTGGTAAGTAATCTATATTTTTTTCCTTTATCTGTTCATTTTTTTAGCTATCTTGGTTATAAAAACGTTTCTATATATCTGCCTTTTTTTGTCTTTTTAATACAAGGAAATAATAATATGTATAAGTTATAGAACGAGAACGTCTGTCCGTGTACTTTTAGGAAAATATATTTGTGATGGAGATTCCGACTCACGAAGTAGATACGCTGCTCCACCATCAAATATGGATTGACGACTTCCAGAATGGGCGCCTCAATGGGAGAGCTTGCCCATTTAATATTGGTACTTGCTTGTTCATTCACTGCCCATACCACAACTAATGTCCGTTCAAATTCGAAATCGGCGTGGGGAAGCCTGTTGGATACCAAAGAACGTGTGCGATACAATAATAAGATTAGTAGACGAATAATTTGTACAGATAACGTGGTGCTACGTGATTTTTTTCATGTAGCAGAATGTAAAGTTTATTCATGTTACGAATTAAAAAAAAGAAAAAAAAAAAGATGGATCTTGGGTACGAGAAAGTGACAAATGGAGGTATTGTATGAATTCGTACCTTCATAAAATTAGGACGAGTGTAATATGATATATGATGCTAAATGAAGATACTTGGACAGAAATGTAATGAAAAACATAGTTGGACTTCGTAAGTCACTTGCTACCTGATGAATAGCGTTCTATGTGTTTTATAACTTGTATATTTTTCAATTTTTCTATATATTCTCGATTAGATTGTACTATTTTAGTAAAGTTTATACGTGACGCGTAAACAAGATGTAACTACGACTACGAGGATGACGACGATAATGAAAGCAGAATACGTTTAAAACGTCGAGGAGTAAGTAATTTTCTCGCATAAAGCCTTTGGTGTCCAGCATATTTTTCACCACGATATTCTCGCCATATTATTGTGTCTATATAATAATCAAAATACGTTATAACCTTTTTTTACGTAACAGCACGAAAAAAAAAAACTTTAGAAAAGATCATCAAACAGTACAATGTTCTTAAGCTATTGTTAAATTTTACGTTAATTTTAATATAATTATTATTATATATAACTATCATATTGCGCGTTAAGAATTTTTAAAAGAAATGTAAAGGTTCTGTAAGGCCAATACTTCGTGTCTGTACATTAATATTTCTATTTTACACGGAGGATCGATATTTACTTTTTAAAAATCTCTCGATGCAGTCCTATCGTATACATTCTCAAATTTATTTCTTTTAATATCCGCGAAATTTTTGAAAGTATATTAGTTGCATATACATACATGAAGAAAGTCTAAAAAGTAATAATGATTCCTAAAATGAAATCATATCTTTTGTTTTGCAACTCATTGAACTTTATATATATATATATATATATATATATATATATA